TCTGATTGATGTTGCATCTTTCTTGAACCTACAGGACTATGAAGTTAGTAAGGAGATGGATAGAGAGCAGGAGGAGGAGGGATCGATTGGCTTATTATTTGACTGTTATTAAGATCATGATCAGAAGGTATGGCAATGCCCAAAAATGGCAAAAAGGGAATTTAACATCAAGATCATAGGGGAGGCCATGAACTGACAAGGAGAGTTTTTCTAGGTGGTTTACGACCTGACTAACACTGGTCAATTAGGGCCTTGCTCTGATTATTCCAGCAATCAGTTTGCAGCCTTCTGCAGTTCTGGGACAAAGAAGTACACCTTTAAAAAATGTCCAGATCTCTGAGATCTATTGGAAGGGCTAATCTAGGCAAGATCATGTAATAATGGGCTCAAGTTACAGGAAGCAAGATTTTGGCTGAATATCAGGAAAAACGTCTTAATGGTTAGAGAAGTACAACAATGGAACCAATGTGTTCTCTGTCTGATGACATTTTCACCAAGGAAAGGTAGAATCTAACAAACATTGCTATCAGCTCAGAAAAAGCCATGCTTGCTAAAGTAGCAACACCTACAATAGCTACAATAGCTGCAACAGAACAAAAATTTAGGACAGATGTTTTAAACCGTATCAATAAATGGTTTTTAGTAGATTTCATTTTCTCTAGAAGCAAATATTTTCCAAATCTGGTGAGTCTTAATTGTCAATTGAAGAATAATCCATCTCAAGCTACTGTAGTTAAGTCAAAAATTCTAAAGAGGGGTACAGATTATATAATTGTCCCTGCTAAGCATAAAGCCCCAGCACTTTGACTACACAAACACTTCAGTCACACAAGCCACTGTAATACGAACAGCCTCAACAATAATGGATAATTTTTCAAAAAACCACTAATTTTATAATTCAGCACTTTTTGCTTTTTAATTTACAAGCCAAAAGGTCAAGAAAGGAATAGAAAAGGCAAATAATAGGACAGTAATTTGTGGCACAATTTTGAATCCTCCCTTCTGTAAAAGAGAAAAATTCAACAAAACTACCAAAAAACTCAAGAGCAACGGAACTTAATTGTTTCATAAGAGGTTATCTACAAAATGTGCATGCCAGATCAAGGAGAGACGACTCACTGAATAGCCATGGATACCTCACGATTTCCAAAACTCAGAGTGTAGCTTCTAGCTGGAAACATATATGATTTTACATTTTTCCTTGCAGAGTTCTACAAAGATGACTTACCTTACAGAAAACAGTTTTGTGTCTGTTTGGTGCTGTGTAATTCTGAACTGCTTGCAGTTTTCTGGAACAGAAAAAAAGTTAAAAAGAGAGTATGATGATTCTGGAAGATTTGATGGAATTGGCTGTCAAAATGATAAAGCAGAAAAAGCTTTTACAGAATATGTTCATGATAAAAAAACCTGTAACAATGTATAAAAGTATGGAGTAGATTTTGTCATGGCTAAGGAAAAAAGCGCTATCATTAATTTAGACACTAAATGTAAGACTCTGCGAAAATATCCTTGGGATAGATCACAGAAATATATTCTTGGCCAGATAAATGGAACCTGGCAAATCCCAGTTTTTGTTACATGCTTTATAAAATGCCACTGAGTTTCTGCAGTCTGTCATCTCCAATACGTGGTTAAAAAAAAGGATTTAGTTATTTTTCCAGTATCTAACCATGATTTTAGTGAAGGATATGTATGGCCAAAATTAACTTGATTTATAAACTAATGCAACAACCTTTGTCAATTGTTAATTTGTACCCATGAAATACAAATGGATGATGTTTGAAACAGAAAATATACAGTGGTGCCTCGCTTAATGATTACCTCGTTAAAGGACGAAACCGCTTTACAATGAAGTTTTTGTGATCACTATTGCGATCACAAAACAATGTTCCTATGGGTAAATTCGCTTAATGATTATCGATTCCCTGCTTTGGGAACTGATTTTTCGCTAGACGGCGATTTTAAAACAGCTGACTGGCGGCTCTAAAATGGCTGCCCGCTATGCAAAATGGCTCCCCGCTGTGCTTTAGGACGGATTCCTCGCTTTACAAAAAATGTTACTTCTGGTATTGAACAACAAGCTTAAATTTTAAAGGTGTAGTTTTAGATAACTACCTAGGGATAACTATCCCTAAAAATTGTGTTGTTATGCTCCAATAAGTTGCTCCCAGGACCTTCAGGGTATGTAAAATGTCCAAAGAATGATTTTCTATTGCTATAATCTTTCTTTATATCTCAATGACTTTCCATCACAAAGTGGAGATCTGAATATTGTACAAGTCTCTGGAGTCCTGGTCTTTCACTCTATCCAGTATGGCATACTGGTTTCTCCCTAATATTTTGGACAACATGAATTAATTATTATCCCAGTGAAGTCTGTAAGGGATTCTTTGATATAGCAACCTACAGTATGTTTACTGCCAAATGTTTTTCTTTCTGTTTGTAAACAGATGGCACTTGAATTCATTGTGGTTCAGTTAAATTATTAAAGGGTTTGGCCACTGCTGTTGGAGACAATGTGCAGGGTTGGAAACTTATGAACACATGTGATACTCATGTCCTTCAATAAATTCCTGTTGGGTGACGACAATCTATGATGAAGACTACTGAGTACATAATTCAGATTTCTCCCACATTGTTTTTTTCTTTTCTTTCACTATGTCTGGATGATAACGTAATACATAAAGATGTACTGTGCTATATTTATATTTTGTTTGTTCACTGCCACTTTCAAAATTGTCCTTCACTGGATAGAGACCCAAAGTTTCTCCAGATAATCAGAGAATCTCATTATGATGTCTTTGTTGTTGTTGTTTAGCAGTTAAGTCGTGTCCGATTCTTCGTGACCTCATGAACCAGAGCACCCCAGGCCCTCTGATCTTCCACTGCCTCCCGGAGTTGGGTCAAATTCATGTTGGTAGCATCAATGACACTGTCCAACCATCTCATCCTCTGTCATCCCCTTCTCCTCTTGCCCTCACTCTTTCCCAACATCAGGGTCTTTTCTGGGGAGTTTTCTCTTCTCATGAGATGGCCAAAGTATTGGAGCCTCAGCTTCAGGATCTGTCCTTCCAGTGCGCACTAAGAGCTGATTTCCTTCAGAATGGATAGGTTTGTTCTCCTTGCAGTCCAGGGGATTCTCAAGAGTCTCCTCCACCACCACAATTCAAAAGAATCAATTCTTCGGTGGTCAGCCTTCTTTATAGTCCAGCTCTCATTTCCATATATTGCTACTGGAAAAACCATAGCTTTGCCTATACAGACCTTTGTCGACAAGGTGATGTCTCTGCTTTTTAAGATGCTGTCTAAGTTTGTCATCGTTTTCCTTCCAAGAAGCAGGCGTCTTTTAATTTCATGTCTGCTGTCACCATCTTCAGTGATCATGGAGCCCAAGAACGTAAAATCTGTCACTACCTCCATATCTTCCCCTTCTATTTGGCAGTAGGTGATGGGGCCAGTGGCCATGATCTTAGTTTTTCTAGTTTTCTTAGTTTGTCTAGCCCTAATCAAAAAATTAACACAGGCAATAAGGATAATAATCTTGGAACTGTAGAACTAGGAGGGACCCTATGGATCGTGAAGTCCAGCTCCTGTCAAGGAGGCATTGCAGGGAATTGAACTCCCAATCTCTGGTTCTGCAGCCAGATACCTAAACCACTGAGCTATCCAGAAAAAGAACAATTAACCCACCCAGTGTCTGAAAACAAAAGCTAAGACCATGTTTAACACTGGCAGATGAGAAATAATTGTTGCTGTTATTGCACAAGATTAATCTGATTGATGTTGCATCTTTCTTGAACCTACAGGACTATGAAGTTAGTAAGGAGATGGATAGAGAGCAGGAGGAGGAGGGATCGATTGGCTTATTATTTGACTGTTATTAAGATCATGATCAGAAGGTATGGCAATGCCCAAAAATGGCAAAAAGGGAATTTAACATCAAGATCATAGGGGAGGCCATGAACTGACAAGGAGAGTTTTTCCAGGTGGTTTACGACCTGACTAACACTGGTCAATTAGGGCCTTGCTCTGATTATTCCAGCAATCAGTTTGCAGCCTTCTGCAGTTCTGGGACAAAGAAGTACACCTTTAAAAAATGTCCAGATCTCTGAGATCTATTGGAAGGGCTAATCTAGGCAAGATCATGTAATAATGGGCTCAAGTTACAGGAAGCAAGATTTTGGCTGAATATCAGGAAAAACGTCTTAATGGTTAGAGAAGTACAACAATGGAACCAATGTGTTCTCTGTCTGATGACATTTTCACCAAGGAAAGGTAGAATCTAACAAACATTGCTATCAGCTCAGAAAAAGCCATGCTTGCTAAAGTAGCAACACCTACAATAGCTACAATAGCTGCAACAGAACAAAAATTTAGGACAGATGTTTTAAACCGTATCAATAAATGGTTTTTAGTAGATTTCATTTTCTCTAGAAGCAAATATTTTCCAAATCTGGTGAGTCTTAATTGTCAATTGAAGAATAATCCATCTCAAGCTACTGTAGTTAAGTCAAAAATTCTAAAGAGGGGTACAGATTATATAATTGTCCCTGCTAAGCATAAAGCCCCAGCACTTTGACTACACAAACACTTCAGTCACACAAGCCACTGTAATACGAACAGCCTCAACAATAATGGATAATTTTTCAAAAAACCACTAATTTTATAATTCAGCACTTTTTGCTTTTTAATTTACAAGCCAAAAGGTCAAGAAAGGAATAGAAAAGGCAAATAATAGGACAGTAATTTGTGGCACAATTTTGAATCCTCCCTTCTGTAAAAGAGAAAAATTCAACAAAACTACCAAAAAACTCAAGAGCAACGGAACTTAATTGTTTCATAAGAGGTTATCTACAAAATGTGCATGCCAGATCAAGGAGAGACGACTCACTGAATAGCCATGGATACCTCACGATTTCCAAAACTCAGAGTGTAGCTTCTAGCTGGAAACATATATGATTTTACATTTTTCCTTGCAGAGTTCTACAAAGATGACTTACCTTACAGAAAACAGTTTTGTGTCTGTTTGGTGCTGTGTAATTCTGAACTGCTTGCAGTTTTCTGGAACAGAAAAAAAGTTAAAAAGAGAGTATGATGATTCTGGAAGATTTGGTGGAATTGGCTGTCAAAATGATAAAGCAGAAAAAGCTTTTACAGAATAAGTTCATGATAAAAAAACCTGTAACAATGTATAAAAGTATGGAGTAGATTTTGTCATGGCTAAGGAAAAAAGCGCTATCATTAATTTAGACACTAAATGTAAGACTCTGCGAAAATATCCTTGGGATAGATCACAGAAATATATTCTTGGCCAGATAAATGGAACCTGGCAAATCCCAGTTTTTGTTACATGCTTTATAAAATGCCACTGAGTTTCTGCAGTCTGTCATCTCCAATACGTGGTTAAAAAAAAGGATTTAGTTATTTTTCCAGTATCTAACCATGATTTTAGTGAAGGATATGTATGGCCAAAATGAAAAATAAGGCTCCAAGCAAGATACTTTTTAAATACTTCATTATTATTACTCCTACAGTATTTCTGATGTGCAAAACTGCCTTGTTTTAGACCACATGATATAAAACTTGGCACAAACAACTGATGCAAAAATAATGCTTTAATTTCCCCAATAGACTATTTGCCTGATCATTCATATTAACACCGCTTTGTCTCCACAGTTAAGATCCCAGCAAAAGATCACTAAAATATTTCTGGTTCGAAATATATTTTTCAGTTTTTAGACTCATCTGCAAATACACTATTAACCGTGTCTGATAAGGGAACAGACAATTGATTTTCTTTTTAGTAACAATAATTAATTAACTAAGCAAAGTTAAAAATATCCATCCACAAACGATAGAAGTAGGAGAAGTTCAATTCTTAAAAAAATAAAATAAAAGCAATACCTTGGGTTATTGAATGTGAGGTATTGTGTTTCTGTCTCCACGGTTAAAATGCCAGGAAACAGCCCAATATTGCTGCACAATATTATCCCTGCATTGCCATCAGGAAAAAGGATACCAGGCTTGATATAGCTAAGGGTAGTTTGAATGTTGGCAACACCAATGGCAGCAGTCAAGATAGTCTACAGGACATCTTTTTTTTTTTACACTAGTTGAAAAACATCCCTGACAATTGCTTTGTGTTTGGGTGAGGAATGGGTAACTGATTTTAAAGAGTCAGCTTCTGGAATTTTCTCTTGTGTGGTGTCACTTTATGAATGGCAGTGAGCACAAGTACACTATATCCCATTCTCAACTGGGTTTTTTGGGCATGGCCATAAATACAATATGAACGAAATATAGGCCAAATCAGGATTGTATAAGGAAACCTATAAGGTGATGTGTGAAGAACTGTTTCCAGTCTGTGCCCCCCTTCAAATGTCTCAAGGCTCCTATGAGACAGGTTGCCTCAACAGAGGAAACCACAACTGTTAATTTACAAGAGCTGAGCAGAACGTAATACAAAAGGCAAGATTGCTAGGAAGGGGGTGCAACAGGAAGAGAAAACAACTTAAAATAAGATGCTGTTAGTTTTCAAGTTCTGAGCAGAGCAGTTAATGACAAGGCATTTTGGACTTGAGTCAGTAACACATATAATCCTCACACATTAGAAATCTTTGGAGTTTTTCTTAATTACCAAACAATGTAATAGTGACAAGATGAGTGGAATAGGCACCTAAGCTCTGCTGACATCAAGGCAGACCACCCCCAACCACAAAGCAAAAAACAGTACTGTAATTTCACCCTAAATATTTATTTTATATTTTAATATATATTTTAATTTTCACACTATTTAAACCATTTATCCATTAAAAATAAACTCTTTTTAATGTCTGTTTGGCCAGGAAGGAGTTTGAAAATTCTCCTCCTACGAGTCATTTAATTTGGTCCTGATTGGCAGTGTCAAAAGTTCAAATCTCCCTTTAGCTCTCAAGATGAAACAATGTTAACATTTGTACACATGACGACGTTAATTCGTTCTGAAAAAAATCGCTGTTGAACAAAAACGTCGTTGGGCGGCCATGTTTTTCACCCCGTAGCCATTTTGAAACCACCGATCAGCTGGCCGAAAATCATCGCTTTGTGATAATCGGTTAGCGAAACAGGGGACCGATCATCGCAAAGCGAAATTCCCCCATAGGGAACATCGTTTTGCGATCGCTTTTGCGATCACAAAATCTTCGTCGTGACGCGATTTTGTCGTCAAACAGAGTGCTCGTAATGCGAGGCACCACTGTATTGATAGCCAGTTTATAAGACAACCAAAGAGTCAGTTTTTCCCCTTGGAAATGGCTGTTTTTCAAAGTTACTTTTATAGTTTGTGATGCCTGGATTAATTTCAAATTTAAAAAGAGGGGGCTGAGACTAACTATTCCATTTGAAGATAAGCAAGTTAGGTCTTTCCAATGCATTTTATCTTTTGAAAAACTGCAGACAAAAAAGGTCTCTGATGTCTGTGGTGGGGGAGGAAGAAATGTTACTTTTTTAAAAAAAAATTGTAACTCAAAAACCGTTGGCCCAGACTCCCCCAAATTTGGTACTGATCAAGAAGAGACTGTTTGCTACATGTGTGCCACATTTGGTTCTGAATTCAGTTTAAAAGTTATAAATTTTGTTTGAATTGCCCCATGATTTGAATTGCCTTATGGAATGGTTGTTTGCCTTGTTGCACATTATCTATTGCTGCACTCCTGTGCAGCAATAATACTGACAATAATAAAGCAAATGGTCAAGGTACATCTACAGTTAAAGGAATGACAAATGATTTAGATACTGGGGCACAGAAGGAATGTTCCCTACAGAGCAGAAAGCATTCAGAGTACACTTGGGCATTTCCATGACAATGGCATGCAGCTGGCTTATTGTTCCAATCCAGAAGCAGTGCACTGTAAACATGTTGATGAGCAAAATGACCCAACAGTTCTTTTTAGGCCCACAAATGACAATAATTTATATTGATATAGATTGTATCTATTCATCTAAAGAGGAACTCTTAGCTTCACTTCGCCATGAATGGAAATATGAGGTCCTCTATGTCCAATAAACTCACAAAGGAACTCACCAATATTGACCAAACATTCCTGGGATGTGTCTAGTTGCTGAGAGGTGCCACAAACAATATGTAAGTGCCACTTTTGTAAAACTAGCTAGTACAGTCCTCTCAGTGGACTATATTAAAGAAGACAACATAGGAAGCTTGACAGTTGAACTGGCTGCATGTATAGTAACACTGATTTATAAACCACCTAATATACCACTGTGCTCTAAGAAACCATCTGATATGGAAAACCAAAACAATCACTTTCTAGTGGGAGATTTCAACAGCCATAGCAATATTTGGGACTATGAACACGATTATGACAATGGTTGTTATAAAATGGGTGGAATTCATTCGATGTGCCTTATACATGATCCTAAATTACTGAGTTCCTTTAACAGTGGCAGGTGGCAAAGAGGCTACAATACAGATCTAATTTTTGCTACAGGCCAATTTTTCTACTATGCCACTTTACAGAGCATTTCAACAAATGATATTAAATTATGTAGGCCCTAAAACTAAACCTCTTCTAATTCTAGAACAGGCATGCTTTAGACCTGGCAAGAGCTGTATGGCTTAATGCATCCAGCACTGTTGTACACATTATCTGATTTTTTTAAAAAATTATACCTCCTATGGAATGGTATAGAATGAGGTTGGTTGGGTGAGTAGAATGGGTCAGTACTGAATGTTCTGGAATCAAATCACCTATGCTCCTAATGCACTGTTGAGCTACAGGCTCACAAACAAAGATTAGATCTGGATTGTAGCCTCTCTGCCACCTGCCACTGTTAAATTAGCTGGGTAGTGTAGGATAAAGCACACTGAATAATTTGTCTAATTTATTCTAGGAATAAAACAGATCTGCAGAAAAAAACACTATTTAAAACATGGGTCAAGTTTTTCAAAAGTAAGAAAAGAATTTACTGTTCATAGAATGTAGAGTAATTGAGTTGGAAGGGGCCTATAAAACCACTGAGTCCAACCCTCTGCTCATTGGAAAGTTTGTAGTTATCTGCATACCATTTTCTCTCTAATGTTTGCTGCAGTCTGTTCAGAAAATCCCAGGCTGTCTAATGCATGGCAGGTCATTTCAATTTTTGATGTGTGTCTTGTTTTTGGAAACCACATTATATTCATACTGGAATGATTTAGCATATATCAACCATATTCCCTAATAAGGAAAAGAATTCTGAGACTACTACACATACACAGCACAGCCCCAAACACTGTCACCCCAATTCTCCTTCTGAAGAGCAAAAATTATATACTCTAAATTAATTCATCTTAGGTAAACAGCAAGGACCATATTATAAACAGCATTGAGTTCACTTCAACTTGTTAAACTTTTTCATCCCTATTCTTTATAAACACAAGTGGAAGAAATTAATGTATGTACATAACAGCAAATGTTCTCTCACCATTTTGCTTTTTAAAAAGCACTGGTTTTATCTTATATAAACAGTTGTGACGGAATTATAAACACCGTTATTCCACCTCTATGTTAATACTCTTATTATCTTGCATAAACAGAAGAGAACGAATATGTACATGACTCCAATCAATCCCCTTCTTACACAAAAACCTAGACTTTTTCTATCTTTTGTAAACAGTGGGGGAAGAATTAATGAATTAAAATGTAAGTTTCCTGTTTATATTTATCTTAAAGCCAAAATCCATGGTTGTCTATTCTAAAGGTATATACAAGCTGACAGTCATGAACAATGCTTTCCATGGGGTGTTTCCTAAAATACTGTATTCTCAATCTAGTAGAACTTGGAATTTAATATAATGAAACCTGATGCCACCAATTTATCCAGACCAGTGGAGAAAACTATGAAAAAGAAATCAAGCTTTTTGTTGGATACAACTCCTCTGAGATTAGATAGGTCTTTGTAACTTTCTTTTCTGTTTAAACTTCCAAGCAAAAGATGGATTTGTGCACTATGACCTGATGTATACACTCTGATGTATAGCGCACAAACACACAATTACAAATTAGAATGTCCAATTTGGATACTTG